CAGTATAGTGACAATAATTTTAACTTTCTTTTCTCTTTTTCTTTTTTGTTTCTTTCAAGACAGGGTTTTTCTTTGTAGCCTGGCTATCCTGGAAACTCACTCTGTAGACCAGGCTACCCTGAACTCAGAGACCTACCTGCCTCTGCCTCCTGAGTGCTGGGATTAAAGGTGTGCACCACCACCCCACTAATTTTAACTTCTTAAATATTACATTAAGGTAGTGTGGTGATATGTGCCTGTAATCTGAGCATTTAGGAGGTAAAAGATCAGGAGGATCAGAAGTTCAAGGCCATCCTTAGCAACCATAGCCAATTTGAGTCCAGCGTAGGCTATATGAGACCCTGTCTCAAAGAGGAAAAATAAAAGGTTGGGGGGAGAACTGCAAAAACAAACAAACAAACAAACAAACAAACAAATGTCTCAAGCCACAGTATGTCATGCATAGCGAGGGTGTTAACATTATGAGGCTTGTGTGGTAAAGCAGCTTAACTCATGCTCTCTCTGTGAGTGAGTGTTAGCAGCCCCACTGTGATCCTTGGTCCCTAGATCAGACAATGTGGGAACCTTCAGAAACTTCAGAGAAGCTAAAATTCCAAGATCCATCCAGTTACGTGGAAATGGGTAAGAATGGTACCAGTGGCCCTGGACACTGCAGTCACGTGTCCAGGATCTACTGAATTCTTCTCCAAGCCTTCTGTCAACATTTTTTTAATGTTTTTTTGTTGTTGTTGTTGTTTATTTGTTTTTTTGAGACAGGGTTTCTCTGTGTAGCCCTGGCTGTCCTGGAACTCACTCTGTAGACCAGGCTGGCCTCGAACTCTCGAACTCAGAAATCCACCTGCCTGTGGCTCCCAAGTGCTGGGATTAAAGGCGTGCACCACCACTGCCCGGCAATGTCTTGTTTTTTTAATTTCATGTGCATTGGTGTTTTGCCTCCATGTCTGTCTGTGTGAAGGTATCAGATCCCCTGGAGTTGGAGTTACAGACAGTAGTGAGTTGCCATGTGGATGCTGGGAACTGAACTAGAGTCCTCTGGAAGAGCAGTCAGTGCTCCTAACTAACCACTAAGCGGTCTCTCCAGCCTCTCTGTCTCCATGCTTTTATAAGTTACAAGATTACTGAAACCAGCTGATGTAATTTCTGTCTCATCTATTCCCAGGCATTCGAGACTTGTATCGAAGAAATAATCACAATTTTGAATACTATCATCTTTTTATCTAGTTTTGCTTTTAATTTTGTTGTTGTTGTTGTTGTTGTTTTTTGTTTTCTCGAGACAGGGTTTCTCTGTGTAGTCCTGGCTGTCCTGGAACTCACTCTGTAGACCAGGCTGGCCTCGAACTCAGAGATCCGCCTGCCTGTGGCTCCCAAGTGCTGGGATTAAAGGCGTGCGCCACCACCGCCCGGCTTGCTTTTAATTTTTTGTTAGCGCCATATTAGTTATGTAGTCTAATAGGGCTCACTGTGATATTTTCTTACGTGTATAGGTTTTGATCGTGTCACCTCTTGTCCTCCTCTCACCCCTGTGGATTACCCTTCTTGTCTGCAACAACTAGTCCCCTTTCTATTTGTGTGCCACTTTTTTTTTTAAATGACCCAATGGGTTTTATTAGGGTGGTTTAAGGGAGCATGGGGTTATGTCATGGACTCTAATTGTGGCTACACCACTGTTTTAGGATCACCATTGCTGTGAAGAGACACCAAGACCACAGCTACTCTTATTTAAAAAAGCATTTAATTGGGGCTGGCTTACAATTCAAACGTTTAGCTCATTGTCATCACGGTGAGGACTTAGGGGCAAGAAGGCAGACATGGTGCTGGAGAAGTAGCTGAAAAGTCTACATCTGGATCTGCAGATAGCTGGCAGAGAGAGGTGAGGGTTGGGGGGAATGAGAGACTGGCCGTGGTGTGAGCCTTTGAAACTTGAAAGCCCACCCACAGTGACATACTTCTTCCAACAAGGCCACACCTCCTCCAGCAAGGCCACACCTCCTGATCCTTATCAAGTTTTGCAACTCCCGAATGACCACACATCCAAATCCGTGAACCTAGGGGGCCATTTATTCAAACTACCACAACCACAAAGGAATTGTCTCTCTCTCACTCAGCAGTCATTAACTGCCTCATGGAGGGATGGGACTCCATGAACCCTTCACCTACAGTTGTTTTCTTAAGATGCCATTAATTTGGTATTATCATTAGATTTATCATCTACTAAGCTCTCTCTGTGTCTCTGTGTCTCTGTGCATTGGAATGCAGATACATGTATGTGTAGAGACTGTAGGGGTGTTTTCTTCAGTGGCTCTCAGCCTTACCTTTGAAACAATCTCTTTCTGCACGTGAAGCTCATGAATTGGCTACACCAGCTGGTCAGTGAGCTTCAGGAATCCACTGGTCTCTGTCCCACTCCACTGCGCTGGGGATGGGGTTATAGGCTGGCCACAGCACATGGGTGCTGGGCTTCCAGATTCAGCTCCTCATGCCCTTCCAGCAAGCACTATAATCACTGCGCCATCTCCCTGGCCCCTAAATTAAGTGTGTGAGTGTGTATATATATATGCTTCTATTTTTTTCTAACCACCGTTTAGAACCAAAGCTACATTGTAACGTTTATCCATTCAATTAAGCTTTGAGCACTGTGACAGCTACTCTTCATCATCAACTTGAGTGGATGTCAATTCACTTAGGAGATTCTAGGGAATGGTGTTGGTGTGTCTGTAAGGGAATCTTCAGAGACTATTAACTGAGAAGGGTAAGATGCCATCTCATAGGCTGAGGGGTTGCCATGGAATAGAGGAATCAGAAATGGAGCTGAGCTTGCTCAGTTCTACACATACCATGAGTAAACTACATTGCTTTGCCCTTTCTGAACCCTGGACCCCTCAATCTCTCTCTCCCCTCTCCCTTTTTCCTCTCCCTCTCTGCCTCCTGAGTTCTGGACTAAAGGCATTCGCCATCATGGCCTGGCAGTTTTTATTTTACTTCTTAACTCAGTATGAAAGCCAGGTTAGCCTAAAACTCGTAGAGATCCTCCTGCCTCTGTCCCCCTACCTCAAGGGCTGGAATTAAAGATGTGCGTCAATCACAAAAAGCTAGCTCCTTGGGTCTTCTTTGTCGACCTTCAAACCAAGGGGTTTCCAGGATAGATTTGCTCAACTACTGAGTCCCTTTCACTCCTGGAAATGGTTTTCACAAGTTGTCACTAGCTAAACAAAAACCATCTTTGCTTCCAAAGAGGAAACGGAAGAAAGGTCTGTGTGGTTTTAGCCTCTGAGAACAAGAACAGAGGTTCCTCAAAGTGCAGGTCTTGGAACCCCTGGGGAGGAAGCAGAACAAACTGATTCTGGGAGAGGCTTTGAGCAGCTTCTCCTCATACTGGAATTGTGCCATTGAGAGTGAGCAGTTTAGCCAGGTGCTAGTGGCACATCCCTTTAGTTGCAGGTCTTTAAATCCAGCACTCGGGAGGCAGAGGCAATCAGATTTCTGAGTTTTCGACCAGACTGGTCTATGAAGTGAGTTTCAGGACAGTCAAGGCTATACAGAGGAACCCTGCCCTGAAAAACAAACAAACAAACCAACCAGCCTCAGGAACAGAAACATCAATTAATTGGGATAGGGAGATGGGTCAGTCAGATGAGTGCTTGATATATGCACGTGACGAACCTGAGTTTGGATTCCTAGCACTCTGGTTACATAAAAAAAAAAAAAAAAAAAAAAAAAAAAAGACTGGGTGTAGCACCCACCTATTCCCAATATCAGGCAGGCTGAGACAGCAGAGATCTCTAGAGTTCACTGGTCAGCCATTGTAGAAGAATGACTCTCTCACTGTACACATACATGCACACACACATGAACACACACACACACACACACACACAGAGAGAGAGAGAGAGAGAGAGAGAGAGAGAGAGAGAGAGAGAGAGA